GGGGGGTATGATGATGTTAATGTAACAGTGACCTCTGTGTGAGTGTGTGTGTGTGTGCGTGTGTGTGCGGGGGGTATGATGATGTTAATGTAACAGTGACCTCTGTGTGTGTGGGGGGGGGGATAAGTTCAGCAGGAGACTTTGCCGAGTGCTTAACTTAAATCGTATCCCAGTAGTTTAGATTTCACTGTCTTAGTTTCAAAAATCATATCTTGAGAGTTAAGATTTCATGTTTTAGCTTCAAAACCTTATCCCGAGAGTTAAGATTTCATGTCTTAGCTTCAAAACCTTATCCCGAGAGTTTAGATTTTATTGTCTGCATCTCATACGAGTGGTTGATTATTTTTTACTCCCGCATTTTTTTTTTTTTTTATTGTGGAGAGAAGTTGTAACGGTGAACCATCATCAGAGGACGCAAGAATGTGTGACAAAATTGACAGCACTACCCTGCAGCTGGGTACACTGTCTAAAGTGGGTGATCAGTTATATGTTATCGTATTGGGATATACTGTTTACGAATGCAAGTGGGTTTCTTTTAGCTACTTGAGAAATAAATAACACTAGCACTCGTAAAGAAACTGGTCGGCAATGAGCGTTTGGCATCATTTGTACCAAGTGAACCGGTGAGAGAAGGTTCGAATCTCGGCGTCAGGACTACTTCGTGTAAGACAAGAGCAAGATCATTTCTCATGTTTATTTCGCTAAAATCCTTGGTAAAAGCATCGATTTTCTGTGTCAGGTTTTGTTCAATATGTCTGAACGCGAAATAAGAAAGAATAAAGGATACGTTCGCCACTGTTGTTTGGAAGTAAACAATAGTAAAACTAGCACTGATATCTCTTTGATCATTCCTACACATATTGCTGATTGTGAGAGAACAAACTAGCACTGATATCTCTTTGATCATACATACACATATTGCTGATTGTGAGAGAACAAACTAGCACTGATATCTCTTTGATCATACATACACATATTGCTGATTGTGAGAGAACAAACTAGCACTGATATCTCTTTGATCATACATACACATATTGCTGATTGTGAGAGAACAAACTAGCACTGATATCTCTTTGATCATACATACACATATTGCTGATTGTGAGAGAACAAACTAGCACTGATATCTCTTTGATCATACATACACATATTGCTGATTGTGAGAGAACAAACTAGCACTGATATCTCTTTGATCATACATACACATATTGCTGATTGTGAGAGAACAAACTAGCACTGATATCTCTTTGATCATACATACACATATTGCTGATTGTGAGAGAACAAACTAGCACTGATATCTCTTTGATCATACATACACATATTGCTGATTGTGAGAGAACAAACTAGCACTGATATCTCTTTGATCATACATACACATATTGCTGATTGTGAGAGAACAAACTAGCACTGATATCTCTTTGATCATACATACACATATTGCTGATTGTGAGAGAACAAACTAGCACTGATATCTCTTTGATCATACATACACATATTGCTGATTGTGAGAGAACAAACTAGCACTGATATCTCTTTGATCATACATACACATATTGCTGATTGTGAGAGAACAAACTAGCACTGATATCTCTTTGATCATACATACACATATTGCTGATTGTGAGAGAACAAACTAGCACTGATATCTCTTTGATCATACATACACATATTGCTGATTGTGAGAGAACAAACTAGCACTGATATCTCTTTGATCATACATACACATATTGCTGATTGTGAGAGAACAAACTAGCACTGATATCTCTTTGATCATACATACACATATTGCTGATTGTGAGAGAACAAACTAGCACTGATATCTCTTTGATCATACCTACACATATTGCTGATTGTGAGAGAACAAACTAGCACTGATGTCTCTTTGATCATACCTACACATATTGCTGATTGTGAGAGAACAAACTAGCACTGATATCTCTTTGATCATACATACACATATTGCTGATTTTCAGAGGACTGATCGCAAACGTCGGCAGGTAGAGCAATTTTAATCAGTAACTTTGATAATGATGTACATGTAATTACCAAATCAATTCTTTGAATGGTGAAGTCAAAATCAATCTTGAGTTATTGTGTGTTAACGCTACATTGTATGGTATTAATATGTATTTAACACTAAAAACACGTAACCTGAATATTGAGGTTTTATACTTATACCAATCTTACATTCTTGTTACTGAAATGTAGTCAAACTGTCAAAAATGTCCTCCGAAATTAGCATTAAAACATATCCAAAAATGGTACAATGACAAATCCAGTCACTTTATCATTACAGTAATCAAACTATCTTAAATGCTTTACATGGTGTCTGTTTATAATTTTGTATAATATCAAATAGGTTTTCTACGTGGAAAAAACCTGGCGTGAGCCCGCATTGTGGGTTATCGAGGTAATCTTCACAGTTAACCCGTAAGTCCGTATGTGTAATCCCAATAGAAATAGGTCAAACCCGACCATGAAATGTCTCCTACCTCGCGGGTCGTACTTTTTACCTAATCGAAAAACAGCGCGTGCACGTATTCCACAACAGAAGTTACCGCTTCTTTTCAATTATCCTCATTTTGATAACAAACTTATTGATATAAATACTGAAACCTATGAGTAAAGCGTTCGTTTATTTTACATTTTTCACGCATAGTGAAGATTTAATTCAGATTGTTGTGCTTGATTAGACTTACTTTTACCAAACGAGATGTTGTTAATTGCCCATTATTGGACGAGTTGGTTCTTCAAAGTTAAACGTGATGGAGTGATCAGTTTCGTATTTGAATTATATACAGTATAATCTCCTTAATCGCTTGAATAAAGGTAGAACCTAATTCATATTCTCAAAATAGCAAGAAATACCCATTTAAGGGCACATTACATGCATGTTTTGATTAATATAACATCCTCGGTGTAACCTAAGACCGAATTATTGAAGTTGTAGTTATGTGATGTAATTATTATTTGGGTTTTTTGCTTTATTATTACAGGTAGTGATATTACTAAAACAGTCAAAGATGATGTCGTTATCCCCAGATATAGACCTGACCGTTATCAGGTGTGCTGCGTTCAATCAAATCCTTGATCCCTGGATCTACATCCTCTTACGGAGACATCTAGTGTTTAACATACTAATGGGACTCCGTAAATCAGTATGCAGATGTAAAATGGACCAACCGACACCGGACAATTCCAACGATGTGGTTGAACGGTGTGACGTCACATCATCGAGTCAGAGCATCACTGGCCACTCAAACGGGTCGTATCTGAACTCGACACACTGCAGCAACATCACTCTAAACGGGGTTAACGGGTCCGCCATTACAACTATTAGCAATGGCGCACTGGTGACGTCAAATGGCAAGTGTCACGTGGGCCAAACACTTACAGACAACTGGTCATTTACCAGCCTTCCAAACGGCAATGGTAAGTCTAACGACGGGTTTAGTCAGTGTGATCCAGAGGAAACTCGAACAGTCGGGGAGTTGTCGAATGGTACTCTGATTTGTTCGCAGCTATGATAAACACCTTCAAATCTTGTCTGTATTGGTGTATGTGTATGAACAACGGTATTCAGGTGAGGACGGTTCAACTGTGTTTAGACGAAGTGTGTATTGTGTGTGAAGGTATACAGGTACATCTACTCTCTACAGTCATACAGTTAACTTATCAGTCTGGTCTGACATCACACTACCAACATGGATAGTAAAGAAGTAGTCGACATTCCGACTACACACTGACATGTGTGGTAGAATAAACAGCCTTTATCTAATATCAGGTAACGTGTAGTGATATATTGTAAATAGTGTGACAACTCCATTGACAAGACGTGTTGGCAATGATGCGTACTATTACACAGCTGAATCTGGCATATTGTGAAAATTATATTGATGAAACAACGATCGCTTTATACTGAAGACGCGTTAATTATAACCTACCGCCTTTACACGTGATTCCGACTTCAACAATTGTATCATTGGACAATGTAATTACGAAAATACTCATACATTGAACTTCTAAGAGATACCTTAAAACTGTTGGACTGACCATGGTTTCTTGTATATATGATATCATGCAACAATATAATGCAACATTTGTTATACTAGCCGAGCTGGTGTAATACATATTTACGTCATACCGGACGTTACGTATAGAACACGTGATATCTATCTCGCGTGATTTAACGTATTCAAGCATCAATCTCAAAATTCCGAAACTCAAAAATTACGCAAAGTATCTATTGATATAACGTTAGACATAAACGCTGTGTAAAACGCGAATTTCTGTTCTCAGGAATCGGTACAGCAAGGCCAGATCGCGATATCAATTCGTGTCCCACTGCAGGTAGTCTCAGTATCAGGACATTAAGAATCATTGTCTAACTGCAGGTACAATATAAGCGAGTTCAACTACGGTATTTGTTTTCAAACAAAATGTAACATGCTGCAGTTCTGGGCCAGAGAACAACCGCTGATCACGTAGGTCAGTTGGTTAGAGCAAATGTATTGTGATGGAAGGTCCTAGAATTCGAATGTCAGAACACTAAGTTCCCCAATGTTAATGTTTCTGTTCAGAAAATATCTTGATAAAGCCATTTTCATACCGGTAAAAGAGTTTAAAATTGATTATTTTCATAAGGTGGAGGTAGCTTTATTTGTAAAAGAGTGAAAGCGAACATAGGATATTGTGGGTATAATGCTTGGGGCGTTTCTATTAGCTAGCATACGGGTCAAGACCTTTATATGAACTTTGACCGCCAAAATTTAGTCACCATCATAATAAATTTTAAGTTCATGATGAATGTAGTTGGTATTGTTACGTTATGATTCTCTAATAGTTTTCCAGGGCTTGACACTGACATTGTGTACAGTAATGCTTCTCGGACATTACATCAAATTTATCGGATGTCTTCTGTTTATATCATTAGCGTTAGTCACATAAAACATAGAAATGAAGCAATTGTCTTTTTGGAAGCCATCTTAATACGCTCCGCGGCAGGTAGGTCGTCTCTGATTCGAGACTAGGGGGCTCATACAATCTCGAACGTCTATGGCCAGCTATGAAACAAAACGTCGCCGCATCGATTTGTCGATTTGATCGTCATATCAAATATGAATATCACTTAAGTGTACATACGTTCATAGCGTAACATAGTCTTCTCGAACATATTGAATACCTTAGGGGATATACGTTCATAGCGTAGCCGAATCGATTGTTGAGGTGATTGTCTTCTCGTACATATTGAATACCTTAGGGGACATACGCTTCGCTGGTCATTTGTCTGATGAATGTGACAGTGTACATATCGTACTAGTTATCGAAGTGTCAAACATTTCACTGGTTGTGATGTATGAATCTATATGCCATACTTGACGGTAATCTAAATCAGTCCGAGTTATGTAAACATGAAACCCAATCGATAGTCGGTGGGGAGATCCTCTTTTATATAATATCGTAGATATTAAACTTATATTTTGTGAAATTCTCAAGACAAAAAATAAATGCAATGAATAATTTCCTTTTAACTGATCATGTTTTTAAGAAACTGGATTTCTTACATTTCGTGTTACATTTTTCCGCTTCAATTCGAGCTAAATATTAATTTTGAATTCAGATGCCCGCAAACGATTATGTGAACATCACTTTAGACAATTTGAGTAAAACGCTAGAATAGTAAATTCGCCAGTTTAAGTGTCCGCGAAATTGTTTTGATTATCGGTATGACAAATACAAATACGTAAATAAGGACAAAATGACGATACGAGGAAATTGTATCAGAGGAAAGAATATCTTTCTTAATGTATATACTTGTTCCATTGGTTTAAATCTCACATACGTTATTTTTTTCAGGGATGGATCGAATACTTATTTCATATACGATGTTATAGACGAAATGTTGACCGTGGGTGTAACGATTTATTATAAGCTACAATATCTTAAATATTTCTGTCTGAAAGTTATTCTTTGTTTGATTTGTAAATTATTTATATACACTTTGATAATGTTATCGAATACCTGTTCTATCTCGAAGTTCTGACAAGGTCGACATAAACATGTGTGATTATGATTGATTATGATAAATTTATGTTAGAAAATATTATATGTATTATTATTTGGACAATGGACTTGTAATGTTCTTTGTTTTCCATACTAAGAGTGTATATTAGGGCTAAACAAAGGTCTCCATGTCTGCAATGGTTTTTATGTCTATAATGGTTTCCATGTCTATAATGGTTTCCATGTCTACAATGGTTTCCATGTTTACAATGGTTTCCATGTCTATAATGGTTTCCATGTCTACAATGGTTTCCATGTCTATAATGGTTTCCATGTCTTTCCATGTCTACAATGGTTTCCATGTCTACAATGGTTTCCATGTCTATAATGGTTTCCATGTCTACAATGGTTTCCATGTCTATAATGGTTTCCATGTCTACAATGGTTTCCATGTCTATAATGGTTTCCATGTCTACAATGGTTTCCATGTCTATAATGGTTTCCATGTCTACAATGGTTTCCATGTCTATAATGGTTTCCATGTCTACAATGGTTTCCATGTCTATAATGGTTTCCATGTCTACAATGGTTTCCATGTCTATAATGGTTTCCATGTCTACAATGGTTTCCATGTCTATAATGGTTTCCATGTCTACAATGGTTTCCATGTCTATAATGGTTTCCATGTCTACAATGGTTTCCATGTCTATAATGGTTTCCATGTCTACAATGGTTTCCATGTCTATAATGGTTTCCATGTCTACAATGGTTTCCATGTCTATAATGGTTTCCATGTCTACAATGGTTTCCATGTCTATAATGGTTTCCATGTCTACAATGGTTTCCATGTCTATAATGGTTTCCATGTCTACAATGGTTTCCATGTCTATAATGGTTTCCATGTCTACAATGGTTTCCATGTCTATAATGGTTTCCATGTCTACAATGGTTTCCATGTCTATAATGGTTTCCATGTCTACAATGGTTTCCATGTCTATAATGGTTTCCATGTCTACAATGGTTTCCATGTCTATAATGGTTTCCATGTCTACAATGGTTTCCATGTCTATAATGGTTTCCATGTCTACAATGGTTTCCATGTCTATAATGGTTTCCATGTCTACAATGGTTTCCATGTCTATAATGGTTTCCATGTCTATAATGGTTTCCATGTCTATAATGGTTTCCATGTCTACAATGGTTTCCATGTCTATAATGGTTTCCATGTCTACAATGGTTTCCATGTCTATAATGGTTTCCATGTCTACAATGGTTTCCATGTCTATAATGGTTTCCATGTCTACAATGGTTTCCATGTCTATAATGGTTTCCATGTCTACAATGGTTTCCATGTCTATAATGGTTTCCATGTCTACAATGGTTTCCATGTCTATAATGGTTTCCATGTCTACAATGGTTTCCATGTCTATAATGGTTTCCATGTCTACAATGGTTTCCATGTCTATAATGGTTTCCATGTCTACAATGGTTTCCATGTCTATAATGGTTTCCATGTCTACAATGGTTTCCATGTCTATAATGGTTTCCATGTCTACAATGGTTTCCATGTCTATAATGGTTTCCATGTCTACAATGGTTTCCATGTCTATAATGGTTTCCATGTCTACAATGGTTTCCATGTCTATAATGGTTTCCATGTCTATAATGGTTTCCATGTCTATAATGGTTTCCATGTCTACAATGGTTTCCATGTCTATAATGGTTTCCATGTCTATAATGGTTTCCATGTCTATAATGGTTTCCATGTCTACAATGGTTTCCATGTCTATAATGGTTTCCATGTCTACAATGGTTTCCATGTCTATAATGGTTTCCATGTCTACAATGGTTTCCATGTCTATAATGGTTTCCATGTCTACAATGGTTTCCATGTCTATAATGGTTTCCATGTCTACAATGGTTTCCATGTCTATAATGGTTTCCATGTCTACAATGGTTTCCATGTCTATAATGGTTTCCATGTCTACAATGGTTTCCATGTCTATAATGGTTTCCATGTCTACAATGGTTTCCATGTCTATAATGGTTTCCATGTCTACAATGGTTTCCATGTCTATAATGGTTTCCATGTCTACAATGGTTTCCATGTCTATAATGGTTTCCATGTCTACAATGGTTTCCATGTCTATAATGGTTTCCATGTCTACAATGGTTTCCATGTCTATAATGGTTTCCATGTCTACAATGGTTTCCATGTCTATAATGGTTTCCATGTCTATAATGGTTTCCATGTCTATAATGGTTTCCATGTCTACAATGGTTTCCATGTCTATAATGGTTTCCATGTCTACAATGGTTTCCATGTCTATAATGGTTTCCATGTCTACAATGGTTTCCATGTCTATAATGGTTTCCATGTCTACAATGGTTTCCATGTCTATAATGGTTTCCATGTCTACAATGGTTTCCATGTCTATAATGGTTTCCATGTCTACAATGGTTTCCATGTCTATAATGGTTTCCATGTCTACAATGGTTTCCATGTCTATAATGGTTTCCATGTCTACAATGGTTTCCATGTCTATAATGGTTTCCATGTCTACAATGGTTTCCATGTCTATAATGGTTTCCATGTCTACAATGGTTTCCATGTCTATAATGGTTTCCATGTCTACAATGGTTTCCATGTCTATAATGGTTTCCATGTCTACAATGGTTTCCATGTCTATAATGGTTTCCATGTCTACAATGGTTTCCATGTCTACAATGGTTTCCATGTCTACAATGGTTTCCATGTCTACAATGGTTTCCATGTCTACAATGGTTTCCATGTCTACAATGGTTTCCATGTCTACAATGGTTTCCATGTCTACAATGGTTTCCATGTCTACAATGGTTTCCATGTCTACAATGGTTTCCATGTCTACAATGGTTTCCATGTCTACAATGGTTTCCATGTCTACAATGGTTTCCATGTCTACAATGGTTTCCATGTCTACAATGGTTTCCATGTCTACAATGGTTTCCATGTCTACAATGGTTTCCATGTCTACAATGGTTTCCATGTCTACAATGGTTTCCATGTCTACAATGGTTTCCATGTCTACAATGGTTTCCATGTCTACAATGGTTTCCATGTCTACAATGGTTTCCATGTCTACAATGGTTTCCATGTCTACAATGGTTTCCATGTCTACAATGGTTTCCATGTCTACAATGGTTTCCATGTCTACAATGGTTTCCATGTCTATAATGGTTTCCATGTCTACAATGGTTTCCATGTCTACAATGGTTTCCATGTCTATAATGGTTTCCATGTCTACAATGGTTTCCATGTCTACAATGGTTTCCATGTCTACAATGGTTTCCATGTCTACAATGGTTTCCATGTCTACAATGGTTTCCATGTCTACAATGGTTTCCATGTCTACAATGGTTTCCATGTCTACAATGGTTTCCATGTCTACAATGGTTTCCATGTCTACAATGGTTTCCATGTCTACAATGGTTTCCATGTCTACAATGGTTTCCATGTCTACAATGGTTTCCATGTCTACAATGGTTTCCATGTCTACAATGGTTTCCATGTCTACAATGGTTTCCATGTCTACAATGGTTTCCATGTCTACAATGGTTTCCATGTCTACAATGGTTTCCATGTCTACAATGGTTTCCATGTCTACAATGGTTTCCATGTCTACAATGGTTTCCATGTCTACAATGGTTTCCATGTCTACAATGGTTTCCATGTCTACAATGGTTTCCATGTCTACAATGGTTTCCATGTCTACAATGGTTTCCATGTCTACAATGGTTTCCATGTCTATAATGGTTTCCATGTCTACAATGGTTTCCATGTCTACAATGGTTTCCATGTCTATAATGGTTTCCATGTCTACAATGGTTTCCATGTCTACAATGGTTTCCATGTCTACAATGGTTTCCATGTCTACAATGGTTTCCATGTCTACAATGGTTTCCATGTCTACAATGGTTTCCATGTCTACAATGGTTTCCATGTCTACAATGGTTTCCATGTCTACAATGGTTTCCATGTCTACAATGGTTTCCATGTCTACAATGGTTTCCATGTCTACAATGGTTTCCATGTCTACAATGGTTTCCATGTCTACAATGGTTTCCATGTCTACAATGGTTTCCATGTCTACAATGGTTTCCATGTCTACAATGGTTTCCATGTCTACAATGGTTTCCATGTCTACAATGGTTTCCATGTCTACAATGGTTTCCATGTCTACAATGGTTTCCATGTCTACAATGGTTTCCATGTCTACAATGGTTTCCATGTCTACAATGGTTTCCATGTCTACAATGGTTTCCATGTCTACAATGGTTTCCATGTCTACAATGGTTTCCATGTCTACAATGGTTTCCATGTCTATAATGGTTTCCATGTCTACAATGGTTTCCATGTCTACAATGGTTTCCATGTCTATAATGGTTTCCATGTCTACAATGGTTTCCATGTCTACAATGGTTTCCATGTCTACAATGGTTTCCATGTCTACAATGGTTTCCATGTCTACAATGGTTTCCATGTCTACAATGGTTTCCATGTCTACAATGGTTTCCATGTCTACAATGGTTTCCATGTCTACAATGGTTTCCATGTCTACAATGGTTTCCATGTCTACAATGGTTTCCATGTCTACAATGGTTTCCATGTCTACAATGGTTTCCATGTCTACAATGGTTTCCATGTCTACAATGGTTTCCATGTCTACAATGGTTTCCATGTCTACAATGGTTTCCATGTCTACAATGGTTTCCATGTCTACAATGGTTTCCATGTCTACAATGGTTTCCATGTCTACAATGGTTTCCATGTCTACAATGGTTTCCATGTCTACAATGGTTTCCATGTCTACAATGGTTTCCATGTCTACAATGGTTTCCATGTCTACAATGGTTTCCATGTCTATAATGGTTTCCATGTCTACAATGGTTTCCATGTCTACAATGGTTTCCATGTCTACAATGGTTTCCATGTCTACAATGGTTTCCATGTCTACAATGGTTTCCATGTCTTTAATGGTTTCCATGTCTACAATGGTTTCCATGTCTACAATGGTTTCCATGTCTACAATGGTGTCCATGTCTACAATGGTCTCCATGTCTACAATGGTTTCCATGTCTACAATGGTTTCCATGTCTTTCCATGTCTACAATGGTTTCCATGTCTTTCCATGTCTACAATGATTTCCATGTCTACAATGGTTTCCATGTCTTCACTGGTTTCCATGTCTAC